TTCATATGTTGGTTGACAGAATATTAGTGAGTTTAATTTACTTTATTATTAATAAGTATTAGTGATTTTATTTAGTTTATCCTGGCAATATAATAGGTAAAAAGTAGTTATGTATAATAATCATAGTAATAACTAATATATTAAGTATTAAAACATTAGTTGTGGTTTAAAATGGATTTTAAAGTTATGTTATGAGCTTTAATTCATTAAGTGTAATAATTATTAATTTTTATACTTTTATTTTATACATAGAGTATTTTTTCATTGAATTTTCAATTGTTTTTATTTTTTAGGAAAAGGATGCATCTCTTTATGGGCTTGCATTAGAAACTTTACGTAAATTAATTCGTACATCGACGACATCAATGACCAGTGTACCGTTACCACTGAAATTCTTGCGTAGCTATTATGCACGTTTGAAGGAAAGATGTGATACCATTGAAACTGATGAGAAAACAAAAGCTTTACTCTGTTCAGTTGTATCTATATTAGCTATGGGACAAGATAGAAACCTAAGAGATACTTTACGTTTTTGTTTGAGAGCTGGAGATGTAGATGTTGGTGACTGGGGTCATGAATATGTCAGGTAAGTGGTTAAATAATATAATGATTAGTGTAATATGAATATTTTAGTATTATATATTGAATTATCAAGTTCATTTTATTTATTAAGGCCTTAAGATTGTGATTTTTTTTAAATGTTAATTAGACAATTGGAGGCTGAGATAGCTGAAGAATGGAATAGCGATCAAGAAAATCGAAATAAATTGCTTTCATTGATTAAAAGTATTGTGGCTTTTGATATGAAACACAATGCTGAAATACAAGCTTGTGATTTATTGATGGAAATTGATAGATTGGATCTTTTACAAGTTGATAAATCAAATTACCTAAAAGTTTGCCTTTATTTAATTAAGTAAGTTTTTCAATTGTATTATCAAATAAAATATGATACCTAAATAAATATATTTACCTAATAAAATTGTATATTGTGTTAATTTTTCAGTTGTTCAATTTATGCTGTGGAACCTGAACGAACTAATATTTATAATGAAGTAATGAAACATTACATGAATTTTGAAGAATACCCAAGAGCATTATGTTTAGCTATGTCTGTTAATGATACAGATACAATGTCAAAAATATTTGTTGCTTGCCAGGATCCGTAAGTTTTTTATATCAATTTATCCATTCTTAAATAATTATTTAGTGCTAAGGGGGTTATCATAAACCACAAAATATTAGATTAAACTTAATGTATTTTGTGATACAATGTCTAAATATAATAATTATAACTTAACAATTATATTCATTTTCACTTTTGGTTATTGTTATGAATAGTTTATGTATTTAACTTAATTAGTAGGCACTGAGTTTTTGCTGCATTCAGAAAGATGGTATCTAGAAATTAGTAATCATGAACCACTTAAATTGGTCTATTTAGCATTATTTTAATATTAAATTTATACTTGTTTTATCTTTATGCATATCTAAATTATCAAATGTTGCTGTACAATTCATGTTGAAAATGAATACTGTTTTTTTCTAGTCTACTAGGAATTTTATTAGCTTTAATAATAACCGTTTACATCTATTTTCTATAATTTAGTATATACTGATGATGTTTTAACTTTTATGCTGAATAGAGTCGTAAGGAAACAATTGGCATATATGCTGGGACGACAGTATGTTGGTTTGGAGTTAAATGATGAACCTAAAGATAAAGCAGATCTTACTAATATTATGTCTAATTCTCACATCAATGAACATTTTAATAGCTTGGCAAGAGAAGTAAGTCTTTCAAGTTATGATAACATTTTTATTTTATAATTATTGTCTTCAATGTTTTTATTTATTTTGTTTATACAAATATTTCAGTTGGATATATTGGAACCAAAGACACCAGATGATGTATATAAAACTTGGTTGGAAGGTTTGGTTTTACGCCCATCATACAATTTAGATGTGCCTGTAGATTCAGCACGACATAATCTTGCATCAACTTTTGTTAATGCTTTTGTCAATGCTGGATTTTCACGAGACAAATTGGTGTCTGTGGAAGATGGTAACAAATGGATGTATAAAAATAAACAACATGGTAAATATTTCTAAATATACAGTTTAATTATAAAAATTTAATATGAATTTATTTTATTCATTCAATATGTGTACTTTTTCAGGAATGTTGAGTGCTGCTGCTTCTCTTGGACTTATTCATTTGTGGGATGTCCATGGTGGGTTAACTCCAATTGATAAATATCTTTATACATCTGAAGAATATATTAAAGTAAATATTGTATTTTTATATCTTGTTGTAAATTTAAGTTATAAATGTTTCTAATGTAATCATTTATTTATGATGTTTAGGCTGGTGCTCTTCTTGCTTTGGGAATTGTAAATGTTGGAGTACGCAATGAATGCGATCCAGCTTATTCGCTTTTATCTGATTATGTTTTACATGAGAGTGTTTTACTTAGAATTGGAGCTGTTTTAGGTAACTTATTAATTTTATAAATATAATAAAATATATGAAAGTGTGAGTCATTTACATTTTTTAGGTTTGGGACTCGCCTATGCTGGTACAAGACGACAAGACGTCATAACTTTATTGTTGCCTGTAATGTCTAACAATAAATCTACACCAGAAGTTGTTGCTTTGGCTGCTCTTTCTTGTGGAATGATTAGTGTAGGTGCTGCTAACCAAGATGTTATATCCACTATCTTACAAACTCTGGTGGATTTACCTTCAACTGAACTACAAGATGGCCATTATTCTAGATTTTTACCCCTAGCCCTTGGATTATGTTATCTTGGTATGATTTATTAAATCAATTTCATTTAGACAAAAATTACCTTCACCTAATAAGAATATTTTTACTACTTTAAGGCCTTAAAGACAAAGCTGATGCACTTGATGGTGATTTAAATGTATTAGCTGATCCATTTAAGTCCATGGCTAAAATGACAGTTAAAATGTGTGCATGTGCTGGTTCTGGTGATGTACTAACTATTCAAGAGTTATTGCATATATGTAGTGAACATTATACTCCTGCCCCGGTAATTGTTATTTAATAATTTTTACTTTTATAAATCTGAAAAATTAAATGATGTAATTTTTTTTTTTTAGAAAGAAGAAGTTTCCAAAAAACAAAATGAGAAAAAAGATAAGGATGGTGATAAAAAAGAAACTACTACTTCTGCAGAAAAAGAAAAGGAGAAAGAAAAAAACAAAGAGACTGCTAGTAAGGACCTTTCGACTATGCAAGCTGTTGCTGCTTTAGCTGTAGCTGTTGTAGCTATGGGAGAAGATACTGGATCAGAAATGTGTACTCGAATTTTCGGACAACTAGTAAGACATAAAAATATACAAATAGAGATTGTAGAACTATATTTTAATATTGCTTGGTTGTTTTTAGGGTAGGTATGGTGAACCACCTGTAAGAAGAGCCGTTCCATTAGCAATTGCGTTGTTATCTATATCAAACCCTCAAATGAATATTATTGATGTGTTAAACAAATACTCTCATGACCTAGATGAAGAAGTAGCACATAATGCTATATTTTCAATGGGTTTGGTTGGAGCTGGTACTAATAATGCTAGGTAATTAAAAAAAAAAGTCTAATAGTCTGATTTTTATTTTTAAAGCTTTGATTTTGAATGTCTATTATTAACTGCTCTCTGTGTTCATATTTTTTGGCTATTAAGAACAATAAATTATATGAAGAAAGTAGCAAATCTACAAAATATCAAATAATATAATTTAGTCAGGATTATTGTTTTATTTATTTTGTAATAAACAACTCATTCATATTGATGAACAAACGAGTTAAATTGTTATTCATAATTTTTAATTTATAATACCTAGCCATTGAGTTCTGTACTTTTTAACTCTTTGTTTGCTTGCATTTTATAATTAATGAAAAAAAACAGTATTAATTATATTTGCTCACATTATACAGCTAGTTTTATGTTAATGATTTAAAGTATAAATATTTTTATTTGTTGATTTTACATTTTTTTAATATTTTTTCATAAAAAATGTGAAACTGTTGAGTTTTTTTTTTATTGATATGTTTGAAAATTTTCAGGTTAGCTACTATGTTGCGTCAGTTAGCTCAATACCATGCTAAAAACACGGGTCATTTATTTATGGTGCGTATTGCTCAAGGCTTAACACACATGGGTAAAGGTACACTATCATTATCCCCGTTCCATACTGACAGGCAGGTAATGAATCCTGTAGCTGTATCAGGTCTTCTCATCACATTATTTAGTTTCTTGGACACTCGTAACAGTAAGTACTTACATTTTTCATTTATTAATAATTTTAAAGTTAACAAAATTAATAATAATATATATTAATATCTTTTGTCTTTTAGTTATCTTAGGTAAGTCTCATTACTTACTGTACACTCTGGTAGTCGCTATGTACCCAAGATGGCTGGTGACTTTGGATGAAGACCTTGAACCACTCCCTGTATCAGTTCGAGTTGGTCAAGTAAGTTTTTGATTTCTGTCTTGATTTATCCTCTACTGTTAAACACTTGCATTTCACCCAGGTAGAAATATATTGTAGTAAAAATGATAATATATTTTCTCAAATATATAGTTATAGATTAAAATCCTACTGTGCATATTTTTATCTTTTGACTTTCAATATATGCTTTGTGGAAAAGATATAATATAATGGTTAACTCAGAATAATGGAAATTGACAAATCATTGTACTTTGTAGGCTGTTGATGTCATTGGAAAAGCTGGTACCCCTAAAACAATAGCTGGAGTACATACCCACACAACACCAGTTCTATTAGCAGTAGGTGAAAGGGCAGAACTCGCTACTGATGAATACAAATGTCTTACACCTGTTATGGAAGGATTTGTTATATTACGTAAAAAACAAGAAAATGAGTAATTTTATTTTTACATTTTTATATATTTGTCTTTTTTTTTTTTACACAAATTACTTATGTGTGTCAATAAAAATTAATATTATTTGTAAATAATAAATCATAAATATTAATATTTATAATAGGTTTTTAAATTTATTGTACCTTTTTTCATTGTTGGTAGTTGCTATATCAACTATTGTTATAACCACAAGTATTACAGACCAAAAAATTATAATAACTAAAGATTTTATGACAAAATTCTGTTTTTCAATTAAATTTCTGATAAAACAAATACTTGCTGAAATAGGGAAATACCCAATTATCTCATATTTCCAATCAAATAACTTACATGTGGGCCACCAAAGACCTAAAAAAAAAAAAAAATTACAATATTAAAATTAATAAAATTATTTTAAATCTGTTATTGATTATAATAATATACTTATGGATTCTACCTGAGACGTAGACACATATTGTGAATTTTAAGTATAATATTATTGTGACACAGAAATGATTTTTCATAACTGAACATAATATGTATCCTGTAAAAAATATTATTTTTATGGACAATATAAAAATTAAAAATACACATTCATGAGAATTAAGTTAAATGTGTATATAACGTGAATAAGCGATAATAGAATAGGTGACTAGTAATAAAATGTGTTTAAAAACATATTACAACTAATAATATGAAGAACAATTTTATGCATGACGATCAATCTCTCAGCATTAATTATGTATATTTTGTAATAAATATATATATATATATATTTTTTTATTTTGCTATTATAACGATTTATTTTTAGTATTACAGTAGATTGATGTAATTTGTTCTTAGATAATATAGAATTTGATCATTAAATAATTTACTTTTATACCATATCATAAAAATTTATATAGCTCGAAAATTAATTTTAACTATCTGTAAGTCCCCCTTCACATTCATAAATTAGAAGTAGTGTAGATAAACATGACTACATTGCCTTCCCTCATACTTGCTACGTATAGGTAGTAGGTAATAGGTATAGTACGTATTTAATCCTGTTTACTCATTGTATTATTAAATATACACAAATTGTAAATGTCTTTTATAGTAAAACAAAAAAAAATTTTTGTAAATTCTGTAAAACAACTTTATAGATTCATAATATAAATAGATGTTATTTTAAAATAAATCTAAATTGTTATTGCATATAGTAAAATTTCAATAATATAATACATGTAAAAGTTTTAAGTTTTTACGAATATTTTTTTCAAATTATTACATAATAATTAACATCGCTATTTATCATTCAAATAAGTAATTTCGTCCAAATTTAAACTTTAAATGTCTTTAAAAAATAATTGTCTTTATATATTTTATAGATTTAATGGTTACAGTATGATTTACTTATGAAGGATTTTGTATTAAATTATTAAAACTTAAATACAAAAGAAAAGTTTTAAATTTTTAACTGTAAATAGTTAGCACATTTTGTTAAAATTTTAACTTAAAATGCAAACAAAAAATTGTGCCTATGAATTTTTTATATCATTTTACACATATAAGAACAACTTTTGTGTGACCTTATAAAAAATTTTTAAGAATTTTACACATTGAATAATTTTTATCATCGTTTATAGAAAAAAATCCTGTTTTTCATTAACTTTTTTTTTGTTTTTCCAAATAAATAAAGTTTGTTTTAGTTAGTTATAAAAATATTATAATATTTAATTATAATTTATCTTACGAATTGGATTTGTTTGCGAATTACAATTATTTAAAAAAACAAGGCCTGTTAAACAGTGAATTTTTTCACGGTAAGTATTTTGACGAGATTGCCTAAATCGAATTTCTAAACAAATAACAATTGTTCTATATGACGAGTGACAACCTCTTAACTTCTAAGCGTTAAGTTTTAATTTAATTACCTAAGTGTATTCCACTGATACTGATGAACAACAAACCCAAGAAGATGTAGAAATAATTAGGGCAGATTATATCATATAGGAGGATCATATGTATGACTGTAAATGCGTTCCAGACAACGGCAATCGGTATCTGGACGATGAGACGAGCTAGATATGATGTCCAACCATCGTAATAACAGTCTTTGCCTGCGACCTGCTGTAACCAAACGGCGATTGCTCCGTGGAAAAAGAACGCCAAACTAATAAAATGCGTACAAGTATATGATATTATCATTAGATGAAAGGGTAGCATGATTTGTTTTTAGATGTACGCCGTGTACGGGGGTACGACAAAATTTCAAGCACTGTAGGTAGGTAGGTAATTTATTGTTGTACATCATATTATACTATTTATACTGTACATAAACTTACATTTCAAAATTTTTCTGTAAATAATTAACTTGATAGTTGCAAACAGTTTGGGATTTTGATAGTTCTTCTATTATAAATTATAAGTTTTACCCGCTAATGTAAAATTCTTTACTTTCATTAAATTATGCAATAACACGGAATAATAATTGATTTTCTTTTATTCAGAGATAAAATACAGTCTCTTAACTCAAGAGTTCAACTTTTAGACCCCAATTTCAAAATGGCAAAATATGGTCAAGCTATCGATCACACCAGGCACCCCCTGTGAACGTCTTGTATGTAAAGAAGTTTAGTTGTATAGATTGGTGTTAATGTATTATGTACAAATTTTTAATAATGTACTTACATAACAATCAGTCCCGAATTTACAAATCGTCCGTAAATAGGATATTTGTAATCATTGTTGTACGTCACTGTATTGTACTGTAAAAATAATCGATATATAAACGAAATATCTACATAAATGTGTATCTCAGTAATGATTAAGTATACAAGTGTTGAAGTGTACGAACAACTCAAATCTGCAATGTTACTTTAATAGAATCATCATTAATGTCTGTAACGTATTCCATCAGCATGTTGTGCGAGTAATCGGATAGAAATTGTTTATAGAGTTCTGTTAGTTTATCTTTTACGACAGCAGCTGTTCGTCCATCTGAAAAATAATCGTAAGATTATTGTTATTGTAATTTGTATAATTGTATGTACTATGTATAATAAATTATTAGATATAAATTGTATGTATATATGTATATTGTAAATTATAAATTAAGGTACACTATATATATATGTGTGTGTGTGTGTTATATATACTATATCAGTAGCGAATCTGAAGCTCATTTAAGGAGGGGTCGAATTGGTTTCATAGATTCATTGGTACTAATAATGACGTAATTGAAATTTATTTTCCGGGTGAGGGAAAGACCAAATGTGTTTTAATAAACTATATAAAAAAAGCTCCAGAGGGGGGGGAGGGCGATCGTCATATCACCCCCCTCAAATCTGTTGCTGTACCATTTATACTATGTAAAGTGTAAGTATGTTATTAGGTACTAAGTGTACATTAAAATTGGTAATACAATTTAAAAAATAAATAAAAATGTATAAATTAAAAAAATATGTGAATTTACGACAATATATATCAGGGGTGGCGAACCTACGGTACGCGTGCTAGAGGTGGCACGTTGGTCAAATTTCAATGGCACGTGAAAAATTAAAATTATGAAAAATTATGGTATTTATAAAATGTTAGTTATAAGAAATTCAAAGAAACAAATTATGTTTAAAAATTATAATATTCCTTTGTAAAATGTCTTTTATTACTATATTTATTGTGTAACTTCATTTTTATCCTTAGAAAATATAATTTATTTTGGGCACGTGAAAAATTTTCAAAACCTTGATTTGAAAAATTTGACACTTGACTCAAAAAAGGTTCACCACCTTTGATATATATGCTTGGGGACCCAAAACATTTAAAGTCAGTACTTCTGCACTTTTTAATTAAGTACATTAGTACATAATAATTAATAAGTATATACTTATTGTATTATACCGGTCATGTTCATTGTGATTATTATCTGACTATTTTCAAAATCAACGTTGTTTTTTATTTTCCTTCCGATTCGTCGACGCAGAGCCATTGTATAATTTTTATCAAAGTATAGTAAACACTCGAATTCATCATAATCATCATCCTCGTATGTAGAGTAATCATTTTTTTTTGATGAGTATATCTACATACATATCAATATAATGTAATTAATAAATAATAATTAGTGGTCATTGAAACAACATTTATTATACAGGAAATATTATTTTAAATTTAGACAAAGTCAAATGTCAATTAAATTTTAGTCTATCATTTTAGTACGGCTTTTAAATGTTGTTTTCAAATGCTAAAATTTACATTTTTAATTTATATTTAAAATGATGAATTTATATTTACGATGTGGGTATATATTGTAGATTTGTACGCAAAGAAAAAATAGTAATTATAAAATTGTTTTATTTTTAAACAATTTAAACTAAAATAATGAATGAATCATTATTAAGTTTAATGATAAGTAGGTATATAGTATATGCAATTAATTAACCCACACTAACGTAACTGCAGCTGTATTGCCAAATAATAATTGCACTTTAACGTATATTATCTACATTTTATCTACACATAAAAGTGTAATTTATACAAAAATAATACTACATATACCATAATTTACTAGTTAACAACTATGATTAAACATAAAAATAATTCTATTGTGTTTTGAATATTAAAAAATAAAGTTATACCTCTAAATTTTCGAAAAATTCTATTAGATAATTGAAGTTAATTTGAATGACATATTATTAAATGGGTTTATGTGACGTTGGATTGTAATTAATAATATCGTTAAATAGTACATCATACTGTTAAAGTTAGTACAGAAACAAAAAATGAACATAAACTGGGTTTTGAGCCAAAAAGTTATACAAGTTACACGTTTTACTTGCTACATTGGACACTGGTAGTGGTACTTACCTATAAAATATAAAAAAATATTGAACGTGTAATGAGTGTGTGTTGGTAATTGGTAATTATAAAATATATTTTACTGACCACAGGAAAATAATTTGCTAAGTGATGATTGATGAACATATCACTCATAGATTCAATCGTCTCATTATTGTAGTCACCCGAATCTTCATTTTGTATCATTATATGTACCTTGCGTTTCGAATACGCCGCAAACGATCCGTGTGCGAGCAGAGGAAACAGAATTACACATATAAATGCAGCGAATAATATGCTGTAAACATACACGAGAACACTGACGTTTATTTATTATTATTCAACCTATATCTTATTAATAACAATTAACAATAATAGTTAATTTATATAATAAAGAATGCAGAATAGATACTTATTAATAGGTAACTAAAAATACAAATTGATACACTATGAAAAAACTTATTTTATCGATAAGAACTTTCGAATGTAGTTGTTTTTTAGAATTTTTAAATTTTAAGCCGTTAATATGTTTATTTACACAAAAGAAAAAGTGGACGCACTTATATTGCTTACATAGAATATATTATATTTAATGGAATAGTAATATTAAAAAAAAAAAAGATTAATTAATTATTCAAATAATAATTTATTTTTAGTTATTATATCGTTCAGATCAATACTTCTACGAATCAATGCAATTTTGTCAATTTTGATAGGTTAAAAAAAATGTAAACGCTTTCTAATATACGTTCCGCAGTCAATAGAACCATTTATTACAACTAAAAGTCTAAAAATATTGTGAAGAGAAGATGATCAGTAAGAATTATTTTCATTAATTGTTATTATAACGATTATTGCAAACATATATAATAGAAATTGTTAATAATTATGTTTAAAAATTTGAATGTCTTACATAATATTTATAATATATGAAGTAATATTTTTAAAACGAACCAAAATTATTCTCTCGCGTTACCTATAACTCTAATATTTATTATATACATCGTATTCTATCGTTGCGCATGTATATACCTACATAGCCGCACCCAAATTGTGTGCGTAGACAACGGATTACGTATTCAACATATCAACATATTATATATAAACATAATATATAATATATCAGATTACTCGTGTAAAGCTAAGTGTAAGTTATTTGAAATTGTAGAAAGATCGAAATTACTCAATGCTAATAAATAACGTGATGTATTCCAACTACTGTGGCATGTAAGAAGGCTATATAAATATTATATATATTATACTTAATTTTATTGGCCAAATACCTGTAGGTAACGTATTGCCGTATCATTCGTTATGACTGTTATGAGTAACACGCACTAAAACCTGTAACATCTTACCCTCGTACACTTCAAATAATTAATGTCCCATATCCATCAATTAATTTTATCGATACTGTTAACTTATAGAGAAATTACTATTATACAGCGCAGTAAATGTTTTAATAAGGTCCATGTAATAACTATTCGCCTCTCCGAGTAAGACTGTAACACATACACACTACTACTGAATCTTACGACAGCAGCAGGATCACCTCGCACTCAGGCAGCGATGGCGCGCGGCGTTAAATAATAAAATATTTTGTTACTTGAGTACAATTTGCTTATCGAGTCCAACCTATATTAGTAATTTAAGCTTACTCGCTAAAACATATGTTATGTATATATTTTAATATTAAGTTCCTTTGTCTCAATAGTCAATATATATATATATATATATATATATATATTATAATGTTAACGGTCACCTTAGTATACGACAGTAGGTAATATACCTATCACATAGTAATATGATGTGTAATATAAATATTACATTATTACCTATACGTACTTTATACACTATTATTTTGTATTGCAGACGTTGCATTAAAATTTAAAAGGCATAATGGTTAATATCACTTTTTCTAAATTTTACCCGAGAGTAAAAAAAAAAAAACAGCATATAATCCTATATCTTACGCGATTTTCTAGAAATGCTTATTTGTATTTATATAGTTTTAAAGTTTAACTGTGTATTCACTCATTATATAGATAAAAACTTTATGCAATATTAAAGATTATATTTTGAAGAATAATTATTATAATAATATAAGAAAATAAAAATTCTATAGATTTTTAAACGAACATTTAAAAGCCACATTATAATAGTGACATAACTACTCTGAGTTAAAAATGATCGCTTTTCACTGGAAAAATGGCAAACTAGTAACTACAGATAGTGACATATAACATATTGCCATCATAAATAAAATTAAGATATTAGGTAAACTAAGAAAAATGGTTACAGGATACAATAGTTTTAAATCTTGATGTAGGTAATAATATTGACTAATAATTAATATATTAATATATTAATATATATATATATATTCAATATTTTATACTTTAGTAAAGTCAAAAGCAATTTACTAAAATCCGCAATGCAATAGATGCAACCTATATTAACACTAATGTGATTTGCCATTTATGGGATTCTTTTAAAAATACTTAATTTGAACTGTGTATACCTATTTAAATTTAACTGAGTTACTTAGTCAACACTACAACATAACATGAACATAAAACCACTGCAGGTACTCAATGACTCAATAACGTCAAGCTCGCTGCTGTGAATACATACATACATATATTTATATAAACATATATAAGCACCAGGTAATTAATTTTAGATATAGATAGCCCACAGATAGCTAGGAATGTCTTATAATAAAAAAAAAAAATAATAATAATAATTAATTTAACATAAGACACTTTATTATTTCCAAAACTACATTAACTTTTTTGAAAATAATTTTTTTGTATAATTTTAAGTCGTTAAAAAAAAATTGTTTTTAAAATGTTACATATTTATTTTTAATTTCTTATTTAAAATGAAAATATTTTTATTTTTTTTTGAGAAGTTTGAACTGTTTGAGTTATAAGAAACAGATTTTAGATGAGTAGTTATAATTATAATTTTATATTTTTATAAGAATACTGAATAGGTAGGTAATTGGTACAGGTTTATTCCACAAAATGCTATCTATTACTTTATTCATTTCAATAATAAATACTTATAAATATTATTGTTATAATGCAATTTGTTAAATCTAAGTACTTTGAATAATATTTTGCCTAGGAATATGAAATCAAAAATTTATATTGTCATTTAAAAACAGTTTTTTTCTAAAAATGCTGTTTTGTAACAATTTCAAATAATGTAAAAGAAATGTTTTTAAAACCGTAAGTATTTTTTAAAATAATGTGTGTCTTACTTTAAATAGATGATTTTATATATACTTGTGGGTGTAGAACAAATTCAAGATTATTTTTCTTATGCAGACAAACTTATATGGTACTTATACTAAGATGTAACATCTTTGTGACATCAGTGAAGACAGTGACAGTGCATTTTTATACACATAATTATTAAGTATTAACTTATTTAATACTAATATTTTATTATTTTATCTTAAATGTGATAAATGACGCTTACGAATAAATTCCAGTCAAAGTCCAAATGTTTTTAAGTATTAGTGCCTTTAATATGCTTTCTCGTTTTTCGAATTCACTAAGTTGCTATAATCAACAAACAAAATAGTGTATTAATTATTTAATACTTCAATACCTTTTTGTTAAAATAATTTTTATAATTTTTGTAGATATTCAAATTAATAACTATGGATCGTATTTATTTTTCTAAGTTATACGATGTTCATTTGCAACGTGAAATTATTTATAACCTATAGTTATTTTAATGAAACACATAATAATCATGATCTCTTCTAAAAATCTCGATACAAGTGCGAAATAGATACAATATATTTTATTTTATTTTTATGTTGTTAAATTTATTACGACAATAAACAAAAAACAAAAAAAAAAAAAATGAAAATTCAGAAAAGATCTATAAAATATAAATACAGCAAGTCATTGACATAATATGGCACTATACATTATTGTTTATTACCATACAAATAACAAACATACAATATATATTATATACCATTATACTATAGTAATATATTAATTTTTTTCTGATTTTAATACTTAATGTATATATTTTAATACTTACTGTATTGAACATGGAATTCAGTAACGACGTATATTGATGCGGAATATAATTATTAATGATTGATGATCTCCTGATTCTTTTTAATGGCTTAAAATAAACATAAATATGATTAATTATGGTTTATTAAGTATAAACAAAATTGGTACTATAATAATAACTATCGCAAGTACTATGGAATTTTCCTGTAAATTATCCTTTTCGAATATTATTGCTAGGAATAAATCTTCTATACTCGAGGTTTTAAATTTTTCCATAAGATTTGTAGTAGTGTCTTCACTTATAATTTTTCCATTCATCAATATTCCTATCTGGTTTTAATTGTAACTTTTTAAGTTTTAATAAAATCATTAGGGAAAAATTAACAAGAACATTAATCATTACGTGCGTAACTGCCGTTTCCATAAAGCAAAAATTATTGGAAGCCGATACGACTATTGTACATTCTTTGGATAAGTTTATGTATGTTAAAAGTGTCCAAATACTAAAACACATAAAAATATGAATACACATTTACATAATGACTTGAAAGGCAATAATAGACAAGTCAAGAGACCTATTAAACATGTTGAAAAAATAGATAATAGGTACTATTAAATTATATATAAAATATAGGTAGTTGAGTCAATATTATTTAAACATAATTTTCGTTTTATTTATTTTGCAATCGAGAAAAGATGTATGTAAGTACTTAAATATTGTTCGTTGCTTTTCTTTTTTAATTCATCGATTTCATTTTTACTTTCAATATCATAAGATGCCGTGAAGATCGATGATCAATAAATGATCGATCGTGGCCACCCACGATATGATACCGAGAAATTTATTGAGATTTTGGATTCAATTATTTTTATAATATATTACATAAATAATTTTGTTGTTGTAATGAATAATTAAGTGAATTAAAGGACAGTTAAGTTTTGAGGAAAAATATTGATTTTTTTTTTTAAAGTTGATTTTCTAAAAAAAAAGTATTTGTCGGTCTATCGTCTTTAATGAAAATTCTGGCTTTCCCATCACATAAAAGTAACTATATAGCTATATTATAATATTCTGTGCCTCTGCATGGCCTTGGACTGATAATGTTCAATAACTAAATCCGCGCGGTGCAAATATTATCAATTATCTCCTTAAGGCAAGATTAACACATAATATAATATAGCAACGTATGCTTTGAACCAGTATCCGGCTACATCATAAATCTGATAATATTTTTACGAGAATGTCATACGTTAATTCAAGAATATAAAACCTGTTAGTTTGAAGAAATGTATCATAATCATTAAAATAACCGTTAAGTATATATTATTTAATAACAGAATTTTGAAATCGACAGGTAAGATCTATAATTTTATTAATTATTGTCTATGTATTAGTACTGATTGCTAATCTCTTATGTTTACTAGTAATTATTATGAATTGCGCGTTATGTTAATCACTTAATTTAAGGAACAGAAAACATCTAAAAACAATATATTTATTATAGATTCAAGGTGTGCCTATGGTACAACACATATATTAATAAAAATATTAATTCATCATTAGATAATAATGTAAAGTAAAGAAAAACAAGAATATAGAATAATTTCAAATAACCTAAATGTAATTAGTATATTAACGTGAGTAATGTGACATAGGTATAAGAACTGAAATATGGTTTGGTATCGTGACGGTAAGAAAAAAAGGGTCAACAATAGCGTCAATATGATATAATATATTGTTGCATTAAGGCTAATTATTTTCTTCTTTATTAAAGTTTATACAATGATGAATAGATGTAATTAAAGAAGATATCTGACCGTGAAGATTTTTGCTTTACATAAAAGTCATACTAATTATATATTTAACGGTAAAACGTAATAAAATATATATTCAGTTAATATTATTGACATCATTGTAAAAAGGATATATGGTCGTCTTAAGGGACACTATGATGTGTTTAAAGAACAATCAACATAGACAAGGATAATATTTAAACAAATACACTTAAAAATACATATGTTATGAATAAAAATAAACACTTCTTTAAACATATAACAATTAACAATAATGCGTAGCACAATGTAAAAGGTTAACCTACTTTTTTAACGTTGCAGTGTCCATACCAGTTGTGATGTCGTCTAAAATGATCACTTCGGGATCGTGTACAATTGCTAATACCAGAGATAAAACTTTCTTTTGGCTTAATCTTGTGAAATAAAATATTATCGTAATTATATAACATAAGATAAAATCAATATATAAATAATTTTAATTTATAGCATCTATCTAGCATACGACGATTAAAATAATTATGGAAAAATATTCTATTAGATTTTGGACAGATTTTATTAACAGTAGGTACTAATCTACGCGTAAATTTAATAAAATTAAAATAATTTCTTTAAGTACTTAATAATTCATAATTGAATAT